ATCTCACTTTCTGCAAACAGAAAACAATTGATTATTTGATTTCTTAATCATCTTTTGCTAAAGTTTTAATCAGATTATTACCTTGTGTAACTCTTCATCAGCAACACAAAGCCTAGCAGCATAAAGGACCCTAACATCCTTCAATGTGCATAACCTCTTGCATTGAGGGCACTGATAAAAGTAAGAGAAATGTATGAGAAATTTGATAAGAGAATCAAAGATGTGTTCTTTTTGGTGTACATTGAACAAACAAACCTTCCCAGAACTTCGACGAAGTTGAAGCCATTTGTTTATACACGATAATCCATATATATGCCCACAGGGAAGACAACTGCAGTCATGGCAGCTGATAGAATCAATGTGGATCGATTGAATAAATTTCGAGTCAATTTGGAAATGTTAGCTTATCTTACCAGATTTGATGGCTTCCACCGCTAGTCCAAGCTTCAAAGCAAATAGGGCAAAATAAACCATCAATTTCGCCTCTGTCCAACGATTCCTTTCCTTCACACGACTCCAGATCATTTGAATCGTTCAGATAGCCATCGTTGATTGATCTACCATTGGAAATAGAGCTTGAAATGGTCAGTGACGTTATCTCCACCGGAATCAACTCATCCGGTTCTTCGTCTTCTTCATCTTCGTCGTCGTCGTCCCAATAATCATCATCCTCGTCCCAATAATCGCCATTTTCGTAGTCGTCTTCGTCTTCATAATCCTCATCTTCAATTGAGTCGATAGGTATCACCCTCGGAATCAACTCCCCCAATTCTTCTCCCTCTTCATCTTCTTCTTCCTCTTCCACTTCCTCTTCGTCTTCGAAACCTTCTTGATATTCTTCTGTTTCGATCAATCTGTAGTCTTCCATTATTGATGTGATGAGTACTTCTAACACCGAATACAGGATGAAGAAGAAAAGCACATGAATAAGATCAAAATTGACCATTGAATTTTAGGGTTTCCACATTGGAGCTCCGACCAGGTTAGCAGGTAATAAGGTTTCAAATTTTAAAGGGAATTTCTTTTAATTATACAAAATAGGGAAATAGACGATTAAATTTCCCTTTTTATCAAACTCATCACATGTGATCTAGTCGTCTCGTTTACTTGGATCCTACGTGGCAGTTTTTAATCATTTTTGTGCAAGTTAATATGGTATATGATTTTTTTTAATTGAAATCTATTATTTTTTTAAATTAGAAATCTATTATTATTATTATTATTATTAAAAAAGTAAACCAATTATTATACATATGAAATATAAACATTGTTTATGATCAGTGGTCGATATTAAGCCGACTCAATACTCATTTCTTTCAAAAATTTCCTTTGATTCTATGAGTTATAATCTCGAAAATTCCTAGTTGTTAGAGTATTTTGGCTAGCCCTGAGATCCCTGAGAGGTCGGTAATTAGAAGCTATCGAGTTTGAGTTCTTTCAGTATAATTTTCAAATTTTTGTCAAGAAAATCTTTGTAAATTAAGTTATGTTCATATTGCTTACATTGTAACTTATATTTATATTCACAATTGTTACAGATTTATAAATAAGATTTATCAGTGATTTAAAGTTATTATACCGATTGATCCACTTACGGAGTTGATGTTTAGGCTAGATTTAGTGAAGTGTTTAAAATAAGATGTTCAAACAATATACTTTGTATAACAAACAGACTCTACATTCAATATGATGTTACTTGGTTGCTCTTTCCTTGATAGATTTTAATGTAGACATTGAGGTTGTTGAGAAATCTAGACTATCATTAGCCACTAAGGATATTAAACTAAGACTTAGTAATATGAACCTAGGTCACATCAAATGAAAGGGTAAGTGTTGAAGTGAACCGCTGCCCAACTTTCCAGTCATCCACTTTAACAAGTGAGTGCATAGTTACTTTCAGATTACATATAAATATAAAGTATCTAGATATTAAATGTTATGTGTGCATATTATCTGTAGACGTTAGATTATGACACGCAAAGTGCACATTTGTATACAACAAGTTTGTTATCGGTTCGACCAAATGACCGGGGTCAAGAGTGATGCGCCCCCTTACCAGATCCTAGGGACAACGTTGTCTTTAAGGAAAATGTTATGAAAAAATCTCATTTTTTGGAATATATTCTCCATAATTATCCTTGAAACCGTCATCTTTTATTTAAGTAATGATGATTGATACTTCTCTTTGATAATTGGAAGAATCCAAATTCTATAAACCTCGGTTCTTGGTATTTTATCAGTGTCTTTATCCCAATAATTTGAATTTGATGTAAGCTAGGCTTAAGGTCGATAGATTTGAAAAATGATCACACGATCATTCGAAAAGATGTGAAAGCTGACATTTCCTCGGGAACCATAACACTTGAAATTCAAAATTGCTTCATTTCATTGCAGTATAGAGAGATGTGAAAGCTATGATCTAGACAAATTTTATCCACCTTCTTTTATTGATTTGCCACCATAAAGGGCTTTGATTCCTTAACTCCGCAACTGAACAATCAAATTAGTCTTATAATTTTATAAATTTATATTTTTCACCACTTTGACTTGTATTAAATCGTAGTGCAATGTATATAATCTCCACTACATTACTTATCACGCGATACTACTCACACTTTAAGAAATATTAAATCACGTTGAACCAAGTTGTATTTTTACAATTTACATTAAAAAGTGAAAAATCAATTTTCCCAAACAGTTGAAAAGATGTTATAAACTCAAATAACAATCAATTTCATATCTTAAATATTACTAAAAGAGAAACTTTATGACATCATCTTAAATAATCTGGACCATTGATTGTATTTCAATCTTATTTTTTCCACCCTTAGATCAAATTGCTGACATCATCTTCCCCATATGGAATGTATTTAATTCCAATAAATGTTTTCCAATCATCAATCAATAATTTACATTCATTGAAATGGAATGTATTTAATTCCAATAAAAGCTTTCCATATTTTACATCTTGAATTTTTAGTTATGAAGATTTTAATATGATCAATTTTAAAAATATATTACTAACAAATCATTTCAATCAAAGCCTTAATATCAACCATTAATACAAATCCGTTTATATTAGTAAACCAGTAATATAAAATCTTTTTTTTATTAGGAAATCATTAATACCGAAAAATCATATTCTAATTATCACATACATATACGATTCATCATTGAATCCGCGATTCACATTTATTTTCAATCGTTTCTTTTCTTCAAACATTCTCCTACAACATCGTTAATATTGCTTATAACTTCCATCATCATTCTCTGCTATCAACATTAGCTCTTGTGCGCTAGAAGGTCAGTACCTTCTTTCGCTTTTTATATTTTTTTCGATCATTTTTTGTTCCTATATCAAATGTATGTATTCATATATTTCGATTTTCTTTGTCACAAATTACATGAAATCAGTTAACTACTTTTCCGTAACTTTTCAAATAAACATGAAAAGGTATTAGGTACCTTTAACAAAACAAAAAATAACTATCCTGGTAACTGACATTAATTACGAAAATGTTACTTTTATATATTAGAGATGATTATGATTTTTTTTTTAATTTTTATGTCATAAGAATCTGGTTAATTTTGGCATGATTTTAAAATATCATTGAAATTATTATGTTTCTAGATATCATATCAACCTACTTTTTTATCTTCGTATAGTAACAATAAAATTTATTAATTTACACAACAAATATAGATATTTCTAATTTTGTAATATTATTATACCTTACAAAATACAACTCCTTCCAAAATAAATTTTCGTCAGTAATTTCATCCATAATTTCAACAAATTTAAATTTGTATTTTCTTTATATAATTTTTTTTAATGATCCTGATTTTTTTTTCTCCAAAAGTATATCAAACATTTACGTTTTAGATAATGCTGCCCTATTATAATTATTATTTTCCAAAAGTATATCCGTTTAATGAGGAATTTGATATAATAAAGGAAGTGAATGTTAATTAAAATGAGATATATATTCCATAATTATTACATGAGTTTATTAAAAAAATTAATATCAAGGTGTAACATTAAACATTTTTAAAGTGAAATTTCAGAATACATACAAACGATAATGTTGTACAATGAAATATAAAATTGAATAGACTGAAAAAAAAACACTATTAAAGCAGTCAATTTTGAAAATAACATAGTTATGAAAAATTATAAAGTAAGATTAAAATTATAAGATATTAGGAGATTTGTAAAAACTACATTTAGTAAAAGCGTTACGGTTATTAGAAAAAATAAGACCGTTAAGATTAGTGAAAATAGAATATATAAACTAAATTATCACAATAGTAATGAAATGTCATTATTTGATATTTCATATAATTGACAGATATATCAAAATAAATTGATATACTAAAATTATTCAAAGTTGCGCCAAAATTTTTGCGAACACTAAATAAATAAGAACAAACATAAAAACTAGCATTTATATTTATAATCAATTTAAAATAAATCAATCATGATTTAGAAAAGAATCTCCATTGATGATATACTAAAATTAAATCTATATAACATTTAACACTTTATAAATTATATTACATAGCTTTATTTGAATAAATAAAATAGTTGTTAATATTTAATGCAATAGAAAAAATGGTATATTGATTGTCAATATATGTTTAAATTAGGTAACATTATTATGCAATGAACGTCTAATTAAAATGCTTATAAATATATAAATATCATAACTATATAAGACGATGAAAATCGTTCAACTAATAAAACAAAAAATGATGTCTACAAAGAGATCTTTCAATGATTATATATATTTATCGTTTTCAATGTATTTTCTACATATTTCAATAATACCAATAACCATATATTTTTTTTATAATCATTATACAATATCTATAAACGATTATATGTTTTTTTATGCGTTTCCCGCGTTTAACGCGGGCTATAATCTAGTTTTCATATCAAAAGTGGACGCAATGTGTACAATTGCAATTAATAGGGACCGTTGATGCAAAATCTGTACTAGCGCAATAAACAGGGACCGTTGATGGAAAACTAGCATCAGATTCTACTCTTCATCTTTAATTCTTTATGTTCGCCGCTGCGATCAAAAAGTCTACCATCTGCGTCTGCCAAATTTCTCCGGTGCTAGCAGCAACAATGGCAAAAAACGTATCATTCATCACTGGATCTGAGCTCCTATCTCTCAAAGAACGCTCTAATGTCGCCATCGTTGACGTCAGGTAACTTAATTTCTGATCCAACGATAATCCACCCGTCTTTTTGGTATCAAACACTTCACCACGAAATATATCAATGGATTATTGATTAATTCTACAGGGACGATGAGCGAAGTCACGATGGACATATAGCTGGATCACTCCACTTCGCCAGCGATACTTTTCAGGACAGGATCCCTAATCTCGTTCAAGCCGCTAAAGGGAAAGATACCCTAGTCTTTCACTGTGCCCTTAGCCAGGTATGATATAGATTTAATCAAATGTGTTTTACTCTTATGTTTATTTTCAGTTCCTTCGATTAGGGTTTCGTGCAATTTTTCCACAGTGACAATCAATCTTTGTTAACTTATGGTAAAAGAAACAGTAGAATTAGCGATGTTTAGTGGTTTTCTCTTTCATTTCCACAATTGAAATGCTTGTCTTAAAACAAAGCTACATGTCTAATTCACTCTGTGTCATAATCGTATGTCCCTGATTTTGTTGGGATGTATATGTGGATTTATTAGGTAGAAACTGATTCAATCTTGTGTTCTTGAAAAGAAAATTAATGTGATCATCATTCATTATGTTCTTCCACCATCATCTTTCATCAGGTTTTTGATAAACATCTTGTATCAGGTTCGTGGGCCGAAATGTGCACGTAGATTTGCAGAGTATCTTGCAGAAGGGAAAGTGGATGCAGGAATAAAGAATATAATGGTGCTGGAACGCGGTTATAATGGCTGGGAAGCATCTGGTAAACCTGTTTGTCGCTGTCGTGGGTCCACCTGCAAAGGCGGATGCTAAATCCACATACATGTATTGCTATACATCATATCATACTTGGCTTTTTATTTCTTGTGTATAATTAAAATCCTATACATTGAATGGTTGTCAATCCAAATAATATGAGATGGAAGCTGTTATATTCTCGTTTTTATTTTAATTGAAAAGTCTTAGATTCTACATTTGAACTACAAGTGATAAGAGATGCCATTAGCTATTTTGTTATAGGGTTAGGGAAGTTGTATGTATGTGATTATTTTATTCGCCTCCAAACTTTGTTCATTGAGCTTTTCGCATAAAGCACATTTGGTTTCGGGGTGGTATTTCTCATGATGATCGACATCACTTCTCGCGTGTCATGATGGTTGGGAATAGAGGTGAGCATTTGGACTAGACCGGCTGTACCAGAACGAAACTCATCACTTCTCGCGTGTCATGATGGTTGGGAATAGAGGTGAGCATTTGGACTAGACCGGCTGTACCAGAACGAAACTGGTTTTTTAGAAATGGGTGGGTCGTGGATCGGATCTGTGGAAGCTTATTGGGTGCAGAGGTTGAGTTTTTCAGTTCTTTTACATGTTAGACCAGTTCAATGTTAGGTGCATATGATATAAGTTGTTGAAGCCTACTAAAAGTTTGTATTTTTATGCTAAAGTTAGTTTATCTATTACGAGACTTAAAACGGATACATTTTTGGGTTTGATGGTTTGTTTTAGATTATAAATATAATTTTTTGCTTTAGATAAAAAATAATTTGTGATTACTTATACCATTTAATTGATCTTTGAATCGAGTTGCTTAATGACATTATCATTTTTCCAGTTTTGACATCCCGAAAATCGGAAGGCTGCAATTTATTGAATTTGAAACCAAAAACGATAAAATCCTGGTCTAAAGTTAAATATGAACTTTTGAAAAAAAGTGCATGCCAATCCGACTTTAAACAAATGAAATATGTATGTTTGAAACCTTTAACATAATACCAAAAAAAAAACTAAAATTTTCCAGCTTTAATACCCAACTTCGAGGGAATCTAAGTCATTGAATATGAAACCAAAAACGATAAAATTATAGTCTAAAATCAAGTACAAACACTAAACTGCACGCTGGAAAAACTCGTATTGAAATCCGATTTCAAACGAATGAGATATGAATGTTTGAAAATTTTCACTAAATACAAAATACAAAAATGAAGAAGCTGAAAAGTTAAAACTTTCCAACTTTGATATTCCGGCTTCGGAAGATTATAAGTCATTGAATATAAAACTAGAAACAACAAAATTTTAGTCTAAAATCAAGTAAAAACTATAAATTATATACTAGAAAAAACTACATACGAATACGACTTCAAAAGATTGAGATATGCATGGTTGAAAATTTTCATAGAATACAAGATTTGCAAAAGAATTGATAATTTAAAATTCTTGTCCGAACCGATTTTGTACCCATAACCGACCAAGTGGGACCCACCTGGTTTTGTACCAGTTTTAACATGATACAAAGAACCAATAATTGGACCTAATATGATAAACAGTTCCAGATCCGGTCCTGTTCAGAGGTTCAGATACTCTCCCCTAATTACGAATGGACAAGTGGGTTTCATTCGAAGAAAGAATGGAAGGAGCGGAAGGCATTAGTGGGATGGGTAGTGTCAAGGTGTGAGCAGAGGGTAGAGGTGTGATGGGGGCGGTGGTGTGGTATTAGTAGGGTGATGGACGTAATAAATGGTATGTTATAGGGGTGAAACTTGTAATTTTCTCTAAACTTCAAAATTGAAGAGAATATACCATTATTTAATGGAAAATTAAGGATGGTGTTAGAGAATCTATTTGGGCCGTGCCCATTTAGATTCGTGTTGGACCTGCATTAGTTGTCATTAAAGTGACGCCTCGTGGGTTAGAACTATTTTCCAAAATTAAGATTTTGTGAAAAGAAAAACGAATCAGTTGATAAGGACATTTTTTTGTTGTTTTTATTTTAAAGAATTTTTCCAACAATAAGTTTATTTTCTTCCTACCATAAAACATGTGGATATTATTATCACAAATTAAATTAATTTATTTGATGCCTATTAATGGATATAATAGTTTTGTATCTCAGTTAATTTAAATTATATTTTATTTAAGCAAAATATATGAATTTAATTATAGAGTAAAAAAGTAACTGGTTTATTATCAACATCAAAGCAATATTTAAAGAGTAAAAAAAAGTTAATTTCCAATTTAAAACCTAAATCTTTATTAGACTTTTTATATACTACATTATTGCATGCCATTATTTATTTTACAACTTTAATAATAGTGAACAAGAAAAATCGTTTCTGGACCACATGTTAACCTATACTTTGTTTATGCATAATTTTTCTTCGTTGCTATTGCGACTTTTATTTTTTTATTTGTTTCACTCGATTGGTAGTACTCGTAGATATTTTTATCGTGGTTATTTTATAATAAGTAATATTCAGATGGAGTGTATCTGTAAAAATCAGTTTTCGTTTGTCTTTTATTAATCCTTCTTAAGCTATTATAGACAAAAGTGCGTTTTATTTTTTACTGAATATGAAAGTAACGTTATTATTTTCAAATGTTTTTGTTAGTAAAGCTCATATCAAGATTAGAATCATTAGAAAAAACAAAACATATTTATCTATTATTATGTTGTTTTATTATACATAATTTTCACAATGGACTAACACAAGCTCGTATCAAGACTATATTAACGAGTCATTAGAAAAAACAAAATATATTTATCTATTATTGTGTTGTTTTTTTATGCAGAATTTTGACAATGGACAAAAACAGGTGTATGATAGTCTTTTTAAAAAAGAACACATTCAGTTTTCTTTAAACAATATATCTATGATGATAGATATAAATATTATAAAGGTATTTGTGTGCAATTGTATGTTGAGTATCATCTACTATTTATATACTAAATATTTAGGAAATATTTGATAAAAATAAATGATAGATAGTTGTAACACCCTTGTTGAGGTAATTTTATTTTTGACCCTAAGTGATTAATTTGTTGCAAATTGGTCCCACATCTCACTTTATGTGAGACATGTATTTGTACTAGTACGTTGGGCGCTCAAGCGTACGTGGTTGGAGGTCAAACCCTAATGTTTAGGGTTTTGAGCTTATTTAAGCATCATTATCTCACCTAGACCTTTCCTATTATCAGTCTCCATCTCCCAAATCGTCCCTTGCAAACCCTAATCCATTGTGTGAGCACTTTTAGCTTGAGTGAGTGTATTTTTGTGTTCTTGAAGGAATGTGAAGATAGTGGATTCATCTTGGAAGCTCAAGACCACTTATATCACGAAGTATCTCACCCTCAAACATCATGTTGAGGTATAAAGTTCAAATCTTGATGAGTTATTTTCTTACATATTGTTAGTCTAGAGTTTATGTATACTTTTGGTCCCATAGTTTGGTCTAGAGGAGTATGAGCTACTCTAGGTCCTGGAAATGTAGTTTTTTGTAGTTTTGAGCTCATATATTCTAGAAAATGAGAGCTTTTGCATTCTCATTAAAGCCATGCAACAATTTTGGGCTTTGGATGACCTTTGGACCAAGGGTTTGAGTTTTTTACCCTGTTATATGCATGCAAATAGATAAAGTTAGAGACTTTATCCATTAAGATGTCCCTTTTTACCTTGATATGAAGTTTGGTTCTTTGGCTTAATGAAATAAGCACTTAATAGTGAAATGGAGATTTAGTTCCGATATGTTGGGCGTACTTGGAGGTACACTAAGCGTACCAGGTTGTGAACATGTGACTTGAGAGGAACCCTCTACATTGGGCGTAGAGGGGAGTACGTATGGTGTACTCAACCTAAAGGGGGATCTTTGACTTTTAGACCTTGACTTGGACCATGATTTTGACCAATTTGACTTAGCGGTATTTTGGGTATTTTGAGCAGTAGTTTGAGATTAGGTAACTGCTTGTTGTATAGGTGACCTGTAGAGTCAATAGTTGGAATTGTGATTTGTTAAACTACATTTCAGACTGTGAGGTGAGTTTTCCTCACTGTACTTTTGGGTCGAAGGCACTAATATCGACCCACTAGATTATGTATCCTGATATATTAGATTGATGTTATGCTGGTTATATGATAGATTGGTAGATCTGTATGATTACCTGTGCTCACTGAGTATACGTTAGATTGGTAGATCTATATGATTACCTATATTCATTGAGTATTCGTTAAATTGGTAGATCTATATGATTACCCATATTGTTGGTTACTGATTGTTATTGTATATGTCGACATGTTATGATTTGTTGGGTTGAGGCAGTCCTGATTTGTGCTAAAGGTCAAGATACTCGGGGAGATCTGGATAGACTGAAGGCCTGCGAGGTGGTCCAGTCAAGCCGAAGGATTAGAGAGTGGTCCAGATATGATGTAGGGCCTACGAGGTGGTCCAGTAAGGTCGAAGGCTCGGAGAGGGGTCCATATAGGTATTAGGCCCTACGAGGCTGTCCAGTCAGGCTGAAGGCTCATATTTGCATGTTGTTATCTAGTTGGTTGTGTGTGGTACTTTGGGGGAAACTCACCAACTTTTGGCTTATGATTTAAGTATTATGTTTCGGGTACTTTTTATGATTGGGGCAAGGTGAAGGTGTGATCGTGCACATCCTTCGAATTTTATGTGATTTGATTTTAGGATACTCTGATTTGTGATTTGACTATTGGAAACTACGTTTTGTAAACATTTATGGTGTTTGGTTTGGTTTTGAGAAATGAAAATTTTACCACGATTTGAGAGAATTGTATGAGCATTCATGTGCATCCACACTTAAACTAAGGATCTATAAAAGTTTTCAAAATTGTTTTCAAAAGTAACCAAGGAAGGATGAGATGTGTACGATCAGCCGGAGCAAGAAAGTGTGCCCCAAGATACCCACATAGTTTTTTATTATGATGATTATGATATAACTGCATGTTAGTTGTAGGGTAAGGATCTTCATGAATTGCTTGATTTATGATGCCTTATTCCTATAGAGTTTTTCTGCTCAAATGATGCTTTCTTGTTGCTTTGTAGGACTCTTTCAGGTGTAAATTAATTACTAAATGAATCAATTTAGTCACATGTTGCATGGCTTAAATAATATTAGAGTGAAGGATTTGGTCCAATTACGCAACTCTTTTCTGAGTCCAACTGTTGTAGGGCTTAGTCTTTTAATCTAAGATTATTTAAGTTATGTTGTATGTGGTTGTATTCATGAAGTAGTTAACTGGCACCAATGGAGGTCTTTCGGCAGCTGATGAGAGGGTGAGGTTGGGATCCTAGGATAGCCTAGGAAGTGTGGTAGTACGCATAATGCATTGTTTAGAGGGTACTAAGGAGTATTATTATGAGTAGGTGATTGAGAGGACTCGGGATGCTTCTTGAGGAAAGTATGGATATGTGCGAAAGGTATTATTGGGCCAGTACTAATGGAAGCACATGATCCATACTCAAATTAAGGGAATTCACGAGGATTTTATGGAGCTGGTTGAGGGTAGATAGCCTGGTTGGATAACCATGATTCATGGCAACGTTTCCATACCTATCAATCCTTTTGGATATGGTTGTTCAGGCTGAGGATGGGTCTGGTGATTATTGGGGCCTTAGTGGCCATGCCGGATTGGGTTTAAGTGGTGCATACCTAGGTGAGTTAGTTGATTTTGAGGTCTTGAGGGCCTTGCTCGAGGT